ATCAAATACAGTGTCAACTTTCAAAACCCCATGTGACTATCCCAGTGACTCACAATAATTACTGACTGTCAGTGCGTTTGCTGGGACACAGATGTGCCTGGCACTGGCCCTGTTATCGCCAGCAAGAGCTTGCCTCTTGAGTGGGGTCTTCTCTGGGCTCAATTTAAAACCTAGTTTTGGCCAGACAGAGTATTAGGACAATTATCTGTATAATCCATCCGAGGAAAATGTACGCATCTGCTGGCCCTGAAATCACTTGTTTAAAAAAAAGTCTTGAAAGCAATTATTTTAGTAATTCTAGATTTAGCTGGAATAGTCCCAGGAATTGCCTCAAACTATGGTTCCTGTAGCTCAATGGTTCTTACCCTGGGGTGATTGTCCTCAGGTGATTTGGTGATTTGGCGATTTCTGGAGACCTTTTTGGCTGTCAGAACTGAGGGTGGGGCATGGAAGAGGATGCTACTGACCTCTAGTGGGTAGAGGCCAGGGATGCTCTACATGTCCATCTGATGCCCAGGACAGCCCCCTCTCTGCTGTAACACTATTTGATCCAAAATGTCAATGAGGGGCTGGGGTTGTAGCTCGGTGGTAGAGCGCTTGCCTGGCAAGGGTGAGGCACTAGGTTTGATCCTTAGAACCACATAAAAACAAGTAAATAAAATAAAGGTTAAATTCTTTTAAAAAAGAAAAAAATGTCAATGGGGCTGAGACTGAGAAGCCCAGCTTTAGCCAATGATACCTTATACAGTATGAAATAAGATCCCTTGTTTGGAAAAGTCAGACTAAAATGAAAGAAAATGCTTAATTGTAAAGAATATTTTAAGACAGAAATACCCATAACCCTACTTTCTTCATTCTGTTTAGTATCTAGCCTTCAACTTCTGCCCAATGAATATAGATTTATAAGATTGAATTGTGGTGTAAATACAAGTTTATATTCTTGTTTACAATTAAAGATGTCACTTTCTGAGTCCTTTGTATTACTTTAATAGAGACTAGTCCAGTGTGATAAAATCTACAAACCATCCTCTCTTTCTTTCTTTCCCTTTTTTAAAAAGGAACTTGGGTAAAAGCCAGTTCTCCAGTATGAAATCTGGCTTTGGAGACTTGGCCATAGATTACTCTCAAGTGATTTTACAACAAAAACTATTTTTCAAGAAATAAGTACTTGCAGAACATTTTAGAAACTGTGCCAGTGTAAATATTTCCTCCAAGAAACAGTTACTACTTTAGAGAAACACTATTTACATGTTTGTAATTTAAAAAAAGAAACCCACATTTCCCCTCAGACTGCAGAAGGGTGACTCTGTGGCCTGGCTTCAGCAGAGTCCCAGCATTGGACCCAGGCTCCTTCAGGGCTAGGCCTGTGGCCTCTGGTCCAAGAGGAACCTACCTAGTCTGGGCTGATGAAGCCTATAAGCATCACCAAAAGCTGAGAGTAGTCTTGCTCAACAGATCAGGCTGTAAAAGACAAAAACACCAAAGCTCATGCAGATGGAGATAAATATAGCCATTTTTAATAGTGATGACTGAGGAAATGTTTATATTTTAACAGATATGGGAGCCGTTGGAATGGACTCTCCAGTCCTGCCTGAAATGCTCAACGTATCCCAGTGTTACCTGAGGTCCTCCTGCCCTCCAAAGTCCAGACAGTACCACTGCCTAGACCCCCCTCCCCATTCTACTTTCTAAGATTCTTACAAATTTCTTGGGAGTTCTGGCTCTGAGCCCTTATTTCTGTGACTTAATTCAGTTGATGGAAAATGCTACCACTCTGCATTTTTTTTGCCCTCTACTATACCTACCCAGGAAAAAAAAAACTCACCTCCTAATTCAGTCCTCAGCCCCTGACTCAACGCAGACACCCCCAGGCTCACCTTGTCCATAGAGCACTCGCTTAGCACGTGGGAGGCACTGGGTTCAACTCTCTGCACCACAGATAAATAAATAAAATAAAGGACCATTGACAACTAGAAAACGTATTTTAAAAATAAAAAGAGCAATGAGGGCATAAAGGCAACACAGATGACCTGAGGCTCCCAGTCGGTGCAGCAGTTATTCAGAGGCTCTTGACCACCGAGGCCCTGGGGGGTGGCATGGCGGTCATCCTCATTCCTGGCCTCTCATCTCGCTTCCTGCCCCCTTCCTCCCAGGGCTCTCCAAGTTTCATACTAAATTACACAGAGGTACATCTGCTCTTTGGGGTCTCTACTCCTAAAATCAATTCCAGATCTCCTTTGTGTATTTTTTTAAATTTTTTAATTTGAGTGGGCCTACAATTTTAGAAAGTAGTTGTTAACAGCAGTTTATTTTCCTGTTGTACATCTGTTTTAATTAGAGGAGCCAGTCCTGGAGCGCAAGCCTGGATGTATTCTCGGCCACATCCAAATATCTAGTCAAAGAGCAGCCGCTTGACTCCATGGCAGAGCCTGGTCCTGGACTCAGGGCAGTTTGGCCCGCAGCCTTCGGCCCTGGTTCCTTGTCCTGCCTTGCAGCCCTCCGTTGTTCTGGCCTTCGAGGGCTTCTTCCATCCATCGCCCACATCGGCAGCCTCATTTTCCATTTCTCATCTAGTCTCTCTTGTACCCAGCCTGCATTTGCAGAATGTGCCTGAGCATAGAGGCCACAGTTGACATCTCCGGGACTCCATGAGAGGCGACTCTGAGATGGCTGCTTCTGTTTTTATTTTGCTGGCTACTTTTGGACTCCAGATGGTAGTGATGGTAGTCCCTTTAATCCCCAGTGCCTGCTGGGAGGTGGGTTTCCCCAAATTTGTGGTCCCACAAATCCTTTCATTCATTGCCTGCTCTGTGCTGAGAGGTGGGGAAGGAAGGTGCTTGCCCTCCAGGGCTCATTATGAGTTGGGGGGAATGGTGTCAAATATTTTAGTGCTGAAAGTACGTTGGGGATGGCAGAACAACCCGCTGGGTTTCAGAACTGGGGTCAGATGCTGTGGACAGAAACGGTGAGACTTTCACCTTTTTCTCTAAAGGCATTTTCTTCCTCTCCTCAGCACATCACCACCTCTACCCACCAGCCACATCTGTTCCTCGTCACACAGCACTTTGAGTGTGGGTGCTGTGAAATCTTCCTTCTTCCAAATAATTTTGCCTGTTAAAAAAAAGAAGAAGAAGAAGAAGAAGTATATTTTAGCTTTAAAAATTACAGCTCTGGAACTTGAATTTCCTCTTTACTCTCACGAAATGACCAGATCTGCTCATATTTGAAGAAGAGTCGGGAGGCATCGATTATTTTACCCTGTCTTGTACATATAGATAGGATGCCCCTCCTTTTATTATGTGAATAATATAATGAGTGGACTCACCCCTCTTAGCACCTCTTGGTTATACTGGAAACATTTTATGATGGGAAGTCTCCGCAAAGACAGGAAAAAAACATTGAGGGAAGTTAATATAATGACAGCAAAGGTTATTTACTGTGAAAATTAAGCAAAAGGATTCCTTTCTCTGTTAGCATTCAGCATCTCAATAGGTGAATAAAAAATACACAAAAATATTATCAGAAGCAGTTTATTATAAATGTTACTTTGCTAGGTTATTCACTTTACTCACCCTCTGAGATTTCTAGTTCCCCCAGACTGTCAGAGTGGGAAGAGAAAAGACCATTTATCTAATCCAATTCCTTGGGAAGAAATGCTTAGGCAATATTAAGAATCTTCAATTATCTAATTTTATAAAAGGGATGATTTATATTCTGTAGTCAGTAACGTGTGATACTGATTATTTCTAATCCCTTAGAAGAGATCTGACATTGTGCTTTTGGTGCTATGCAGCATGAAATCGTCATGTATATTTCACCAAAGAAGTAACAAGAATAATGGCCTCTGCAGTCTGCAGTCATTTTCGACTTACACACTGCAACATGGTTTTGCCCTGGGGCAGGGAAGTGGGGATTTTTCTCTACTTCAAAAGAATGAAAAATTATCATCACTCTATCCAGAACCATTATAGACTTCAGAGACTTTGGCATGAAATATTCAGAAAGTTTATTTTAGAATTCAATATTTTAAAAGTCTGCTTTAAAACTATTACAGTGATTAGTGGCTCTCTGGCTTGGGCCAGTCTCTCCTCTAAAATGTCCTGTGTCATGGTTGACACTGTTTGTTTTTTCAACAAAATAGAATCTGCCTAAACCACAGAAGGCATGTAAGGCATTAGTTCAGAACACCCCCCCAAAAGGGGCTGTGACCACCACTCAATTATCCTTTCAAACACACTTGGTAACCAAGAGGTGCCCTTCATCGTCCCTCTTTATAGGAGTCAGAGACGCTTAGAGGTGTTCAGGGATTGACAGTGTTTCCACGGCCGTGACTGGAGCCCTGGAGGTGTGGTTCGCTGTGCCGGAATCTTCTCCCTGGGATGATGTAGGAAAGCCACGGGCGTAGAGGATGGAGCCTGGCTTTAAGTTGGAGTCCCAGTGCTGCTGCTTCCTGGGAGGGTGATCCTGAGAAAGCTGGAGCGCCTCCTGAAGGCTCAGTGTGTCCTTCTGTTAATGGACCCGTCTCGGCTTTGGTGCAGATTGATTGAGTCACGTGAGGTGCAGGCCGTGCTCTGTGGGATGTCCGTCTCTGTTCCTGTCCTGTTGGTGCCCAATGTCTTCCTTATCTCTTATTTATTTATCCCACTGTCTATTATAATGCATGTATTTTTTTTTTCTGTATATCATAGAAAAGTCTGTGCAGGACAACTAGAAAAGAAGTTGTTCCTCCTGTTCTTGTATAATCTGTACATTTGGCTTCCTTCCTTTAAATAGTTCGAATATATTATTTCTGTAGGTTTTAATAAATACCTTTTCTTTCATCCCCACCTTAGGTATTATCAATGTAAGAAAAAACACATAGACATCAATCTTAGCCTTCACGTAGATGAAATAGGTTCCTTTCTCATACAAGCGCACAAAGAAAGGAGGGTTCTAATGTGCTCTTGATGCGTAGGTGTGAGGAGAATACTGTGTAAATAACTTTGCGTTTCATTTTCCAGGGAAGTAGATCAAGACTCAGATGGTCTCGTCAGCTTTAGAGACTTCGAATATGCTATGAAGAATGGACAAAATGAAGCCCAACCGTCGAGATCTACTTTTGGCAATTCCGGGGAGAGCTATAAATTGTAATGTATTTAAAGGTCAAACAGACCTTGCCCTTGTGACTTTGTGATCTGCATACTTGTGATTAAACTCCTAATCATAATTTATGGATGCTGATAATATACTTGGGCTTGGAATTCCAGAGGTGGTTGTGTGTACCAGTCTCCCTCTGTGTGGCTAGCAGCCCTGAGTCAGGTGCCGCTGCTGGCCCTGCCACTCGGCCGTCCCCCACCTCTCTTGCCACTCCACACTGCAGGTTGCAATGCTCCACTCCCTTGGCCATGCACCACTGCAGGTCCCTGGTTCCCATCAGCTCCCAAGGTCTGGCAAGGGGCAGCTTTTCCCACCAATGGTGCCAGTTGCCTTCATTCATTCCACTTTGGTTGAATGAACAATAGCATCGAAGTGTCCCGCTTGCCTACTGTGTTCTAAGCACTGAGTGAGGCATTAGGGAAACAAAGAGGTAAGGCTTCTCTAAGTTCACGTACCCAGAATCTAGATCCACACTGCACTGGTGCTGGCTGTGCAAGACAAACCAGGTGGGCTTCCACAAGGTGGCCCTGTCCACGTCATACAGGGAGAACAGCACGCACTAGGGGTCCTGGGGACACAGATGTGATTGTAGAAGCTCTTTGGGTGGCCTGAGCCTGGGCTTCCTGATACACAGAAGCAAAACCTGGCCTGCCCAGTTGCCCTTGGTACACACTTCTGGTTCCGGTGGTTCTGCCCTGCACCAGAGCCTTGGCCAGCTGGGCTCACAGTCTCCACGGTCTCCCATCCCCCTGGGCTCCAGGGATGCCATCCTGGAGCAAAAACTGCACCACTGGACATACAGCATTTATTAAAATAATTCAAAAATAATTGTATCAATACTAATATTTTATTTGTTCCTAGAATTCACTACAATAATATTTGTAAAACAAACAATTCATATTTTTTAAAATAATTTATATTTTAAAGTATTAAATAATTAAAGGCCAAGTAAAATGTAGATTTTTAAAACAAAAACATTAAACAAGTTTCATTTTTATACAATCATTTGCAGATAATTTTAATAAAGTTTTAAAATTGTGATAATCCTGAGATACCTAAGGAAGCCTACAGCTAAGGGTCATTTGATATTCTGCATGGGGTCCTGGAATGGAAACAAGGACATTAGGTAAAAGCAAATCAAGTGTGGACTTCAGCTACTATTAATGTATTGACATTGGTTCATTAGTAGTGACAAATGTATCAAACTCATATAAAATATTAATAATGGGAAACTGGGTGAGGGGTGTATGAGATCGCTGTATCATTTTCTCAGTTTTTCTATGAATCAAAAACTATTCCAAAACTGAATTTTGTTTAAAAAATAAAGACTTATTCAAAAATTAATAAACTGAACTTTACCTAAAATGAGGAAACATTGAAAATCATTCAGCAGTACAAATGAAATATTATTTCAAAAATAAAATGGATCAATGGTATCACTGAGTAGCATATATGTTTTGTACAAATTGTCCCAATTGATAAGAAACTCTTTTTGACTTCGGGTAGAGTTTTGTTCAGGTATTTTCATCATAAATTTAATAATTGAGTAATTGATCCTGACCTCACAACATGAATTACAAAGATTTTAGATTTCTAAAATAGGAAAAAGTTAAAAACACTAGCAAAGTGCCATTATTTCATTAATTGCCAGAATTCCAAAACCTTGTACTGTAGGCACTCTTTGGACCTCAAAGAGGGATCTGTCCTACAGTGGCTGTGGGAGGCAAGAGACAGGTTGGGAAAAGCTCTTGGACAACTCCCTTGACCCTGGACTAACCAAGACTCCTCTTTTTGGTCTCAATGTCAGAAAACTACCCAAACCAGCTTAGATTATAAGGGAGTTTACTAGAGAATGCTGGGCAAGCTTATGGAATCTAACAGAGACATGAGAGGATACACCTGGGTTTCCAGAATAACCAGACCCCACATCACCTGCACCTCCAGACCCAGCCATAGTTCCTGACAGCCTCCCACCATTCTAGAAAGGAATCAGCCCATGATCCATCCATCCAGTTCCAAGTCCAGAAACCTCAGAAAGAAGCTCTGGTTGGCTCCCTGCATCCATCAGTTCTGGTTCACACAGAGGTTATGAACATGGCCAGTGGAGACTCAGGAGGTATACCCAGGGCTGGTCATAAGAGAGGGGCAGCTGGTAATATCTGGGCAGCCATTCTGTTTTCTTTCTCAGGGAAAAACAATATAACTGAGGCCTCATCCAGGAAGGAGAACACCTCTTGGATTTGCTCCTTATGAGGATCCAGGCTCTCAGAGCAAAGTCACAAAGAAAGAGGGAGAATGAGAATCTGCTCATGTCCCCTTCCTCTCCTTATCGCTTGTCTAGGCCCAAACCACATCATCATCCAGTAAGCTTGTTCTCCCAGAATCCCAGTCTCTGTATCCTCGATTCACATGATCCTGCCTGTGCCATGTGACATTATTGGTCTGACCTCAGTTGATGGCCCAAGGGTGGGCATCTATTCTAGCTGGTCACTCAGTCTGTGCCCTTGGAGGACCTAGAGAGTGGGCGTGAGTGAGCCAGTGGCGTCCCTGGGTGGCTGAGTGGGGAGTGTGGCTCAGGAGCTAGTGGCAGTGTTTCTACCACTCGGCCTGGGAAACAAAGGTGGCTGTTTTGCAACAAGAACAAAGGGAAAAAAAATAGACACGAAGAGGGGAGCAAAGAAAGAAAAGAGAGAAGCCCTTGGTGCCCGGTTTCTGGTTAAACTTGTGCACAAGGTCGAGTCGTAACCCTTTGTGTCCTCTGAGGTAACCCTGTATCCTTCCAATCAATTTTTCTGCTCAGCCAGCTAGAGTTTCTTTCTGTTATTTGAAACCAAGAGAACCTCGGTGTGGTGAGCATGGAGCCAAGGGCAGAGTCCTAGGTGACATTAACATTAAGGGGCAACAGAGAAAAACCTTCTAAGGAGACTCAGAAGGAGCAGAGACAGCTGACTTCCCTCTCCCAATCATGCCTCTGCTTGACCTCACTGCAACTGGCCCCAGACTTCCCTGTCACCACAGCCCTCAGGGAGGTCACCAGTGAGCTACAGATAGCCAAAACCCTTCTGCCCTTTTGAACCTCATTGCACAATCCCTTCCTGAGCTGATAACTGCACCTCTGGAATCCACTTTTGGCCTCCCCGACAGGGTCTCTGATGGTATTCCTGTACCCAGGTTTTTCCTAACATCTTATCCAGCTTCCTGCCCTACAACCATTTCATAAGCAGGCCCAAGGTCCTGTGATTGGCCAATCTTCTTGAGCAACCCATCCTCCGAGGATGGTTTCATCCACTGCCAAGATTTCAGTTGTATGACTCGCAGCAAATCCTATCTCTGATCTTTACCCCTGCTCAGCTCCAGACCCATGTTTTCATTTGCCCATTGGACATTTCCACCTCGCTGAACTAATATCAGACGAGGTGTTCCCCTCATGTTCAAAATTGGTTTCCTATCGCGTGTTTTCTATTTCTGTGAATGGCAACCTCCCTGTGCCGATTCCCACCCCACTGTCACCGAAGCCAGCTGTCTCAGTGTCTTTTCAGATCTCCCCCGTCTTCCTCAGCCCTGACATCCCTCCCATCACTGAATCCTTCTGAGCTTGTCTCAGTAAAACTTTCATGACACCTTTTTCCATTCCATCCTGGTCTTTCTGCCCATGTTCTTATTCCCCATCCTACCCTTCCACGCAGTCATTCATTCTATTTATTCACAGAAAGACGAGTAAAAGATGGACAGAAGTAAGAAGCAGACCCTGCTGTCAAGAAATTTTAGTCTAGCGTGTCACTGATGTTCCCCAAGCACAGACAAAATCACTTTTTCTCTGCTCAAAAGCTCTTAGTGGCCACCTCTTCTATTGGATAATGTCTAAACCTGCAGCCTGCTGTTCAAAGCTGCCTGTAATGTGGTATCAATTTATATTTTCAGTTTCACTGTTCACAGCTACCTTTGCCGTACCATCCCATGACCATTTGTGGCACAGGGAAAATGCACATACCCACAGTCCATTCACCTCAAATCACCCTAAGGTAGTAGATTTTTTCCTAAAATAAAAAAATAATAATAACAATATTCTTAGAATGGATATCTGATAAAAATAAAATGCAACTATTAAAGACTTACTTAAAAAAGCATATTGAAGCACCTTCATCTTAGTGTTCCTTGCCTACACAGCTGCCACTTTGTCAGTGGACAAGAAGAACTAAATATGCTAGGTATTTTGTACATTCTGCTTATCTTGAAACTGTTGAGATAGATATTAGCCATTCTTGTTTATAAATGAGGAAGCAGTCTCTCAGTCTAAGGAACTTGACTCTGGGCAAGCAATAGGGATGCATAAACAATGTCAGGGTGGTGACTCAAACTTGGCTAAAAACGGACCTTTCCTTCTTGTCCATGTATAGATATTAAAAATTAATTCACATCTTATGCATCACCAAAAACTAACCCAAATTACATTGGATGATTAATGGAACTTCAAAAGACAAAGATTGACATGTGCTGCAGGCTCTAAAAGCACTATTCAAAGAGAATGAGTTCCAGAAAAGCTCTGAACAATGGCAGCATCTTTGAATAGGTATGCATCTCACTGGGTAACACTCAGGTCCACAAATTCAGTATGGTGTAGCTCTACTTGACATGCACACTGTACTCACAGACTTGTGGTTTAGGATTAATCAAAACAATTTGTTGCTTTCCTTTTTCTTAGCTTGTAACTTTTGAGAGATTTGTTTGGAACCTGCAGTATTAGGCAGTTAAAAATAAAAACCACACGTGCACACACAGAGAGATTGGAATTCAGTGGCCTTAGAGGTAGCACCTCACAAAGTGACCTTTCTTACAAAACAAATTTAAAACAGATTGGTCATATGCATTGAAAAGTAGCCTGTATGGTTTAACACATGAAATATGGGGTGCCCAATCTAAATTCCTCTTAGATTACAGTGATAAAAGACTCAGGAATGTGAGTAATAAAGAACACTGTTCTAACCTCAGAGAAAATGCAGATTAACTTATATGAAAACACAAGCTGAAATTCAAATATAATCCCTATTTTGTGTTTACTGTTTCTTGGGGTTGGGGGAGACTCTAAGGAGAGAAAAATGGGCTAAATTGGCTAAAGTATGGGACTCCAGAAAGAGCAATTCCAATAATATTGAATTTATAGAAAAAAAATTTGACCAAGAGGCTGGAAATATATTACATGTATTGTCATAGCAACAGTCATTGTAAGGGAGAAGTCAGGTTTGGACATCTTTCTTATTTTAAATAAGGAAGGCAGGCTTGATTTTAAATGACTTTTCTAAGGTCAAATGTGTCAGGGATGGTGCTTGAATCAATTTCTTTACCAAGCTTTCCCTATTGCTGCTGGTATTGGACTGCTCTTGGGAACCAAGCTGCCCCTCCCTCCACCTCTCCCCTCTCTGCCCTTCCTTCCTCCCTCCCTATTTCCCTCCCTCCTTCCCCCACTGCTTCCCTCCTTCCTGCCTGTCTTCCTTCCTTCCTTCCTTCTTTCCTACCTTCCTTCCTTCCTTCCTTCCTTCCTTCCTCCCTCCCTCCCTCCCTCCCTTGTCTCCCTATCACATCCATAAATAGAATCACAATCATTGGGTCATTTAGTATTCAATCTGACCCTCCTCTTGGATTATATCTAAACGTATTAGCAGAATTTCCCCCCTTACTACAAATGGAAACCAAACTTCCAGGATCCTTCATGTCTTCCACCACACATGAAACTTTTTGGCCATTATTTTTTCAACTACTTCTTCTACCACATTCTTGAAGAGATTGTCCTCATCAGACTTCAATGGCACATATCTCGAATTGTCAATGATATTAATCTATCATGTCTCATTCTCTGTT